GATGCAGCAACAACAGAAGAGCTGCCATGTCACTATCCCAGCCTTAAAGACAAAAAGCACATTTGAGACAAAAGGTTAAACATGAACTAGAAAACAGTTGGAAAATAAGCAGTTAAATGATGAGATTTCTGGAAATGCTTACAACCACAAGGATGCATAAATTACTAATTTACTAGTCTATTTCCGCTCAGTTAACTGTTTTAGGACAGACAAATGGAAATGTAAGTATTTTATATACTGAAACACTGTCCAAATTTACCCCAGTCATTTGAAGCCTCCGTATCAAAAGATGCTCGTAACTCCTCAACACAAGGACTTGATGGAAGACTTTGGCTTTCTGCGATGATTTTTTGCTTGAAATACGAAGACCACTTTGTAAGAAATCTTCCAGAGGCCTCATCTCCAAGCATCATTGCAAAATCCTGATCAATCTATTAATAAGACAAAACAGGAACCAAATACTGGTTACTTACGTGTTCTTGGCAAAATGTTATCTTTAGTTTCAGATCATGAAATGTCTAAAAATATACTCACCAACCCCGGTGTATCAAGGAAACGAGGGAAGACATCCAAGATTGATGATGTTGCATCTGGGTCATGTACCAGCTTCTGTCTATATTCAAAAGTAGCTTTCATCTTCTCTTTAACCACAGACCTATCTGTTGAGTGTCTAATAACAGACAGAGCCTCTCTGCACTCCTCACCAAAAAGCTGTCCACTAACAAACAAAGATTCTCTTCGGGTTGTTGGACTGTTCTGGAAGTTTGGCCTGTGACACCCACTAGCACCATCATAGGTATTGCGTTGGACAGTCTTGAGTCTCCAAGCAAGATAGCCAGTATTAGCCTCCGGATCATAGTAATGTTCCTGCTCATGCATGCACATCAATCACACACAAAAACAAATAAAAAACATACACAACAAAAAAATGCAACAAAGGAATGCATATTTGGTACCACTTTAACAACATGTATAAATTACAGAGATGTTGCGTTTCAGAGATAACACTTACATAGCCATTTTTTGAGTAAGGATCTTGGAGATATGGAAAAAGCGTTGCAATTCCCAGTGCATAGTTAGTCCGAACACTTATGGGTGGAATCCTCCTTTCAAAAACAAAACAAAGTGTATTGCTATTCTGCTCACTTGACAATTGTTTTTATGATCATCAAAGAATACTTACCCGTGTGATTCTATCATATCTGCAACCAGTATGTTGACCATTTGTCGGCGAGTTGGATCTGACAGTGTTTTAGTTTTGTCGTATTCATTGAAAATTTCTTCACCCTTTGGGTTTGAGCTCAGGACACTACACACCTTCTGTTTAAAAAAAAAAATAATCATACTGATTAAACTGAAGCAAATTATAAAAAAGTTAGTGTTTGTAAAATGCTGTTAAGCACTGGAGATTGCTTTAGGCTTTGCTTTTGACCTGCTTTGCTTCATCGCGATCAAGCTCTTGTAGGCCCTTCTTCCTGTTCTTTGTACTTTTGAGGATTATAGTTGAATCTGATGAACTGGTAGAAGCTGGGGGCGATGGATGATCTGACAATGAAACTGGCGATGTCAGGAGGGCAAGAGGGATTGGCTGTACCGATGACTCTGATTCATCGTCAACCACACTGATCTCAATGTCTTAAAGGGAAAAAAAGGGACATAAAAGGCATTGGAAAAAAAATGTGCAAAATGCATATGAGAAGTCACAACAACTGCAATAATGTTCAACCACATAAATTATATCTGATAACAGCATGTAACATGCACTCAACATGTAAAACCATTTTACAGTTTTTCAAAAAAGAAAATTGGAATCTGAAAGGTTGTTAAATCTGGCTAATATTCATGTAAACTTTGAAGATCATGAAGAAATGTACTCCTGTAAATTATTATGGATCTACTGTACCTGTTTCTGTCTGCATTCTATATCCAACTTTGAAAGCTCGAACTCCAGACTTTACCAGCTCATCAAAAATGTCTGCGTCAACTTCGGTGTCAGAGGTATCAGTGAGGATGAGTACACCTTCTGTGAAGAATTGAGGCTGCAAGCTGAACTTGTCCATAACTAAAACAAAGAAATCCGAAATGTCACTAAACTATTAAAACCACCAAGTTTTACTGTTGATCACTTATAGGTGATAATTTTATACTCATTTAAATTGCACATGAGTACAAACCATCTTTAAGAAACTGGTGGAAATGAAAGCATCCATCACTTTCTGGAACTTTGACATACTTCTGCACTCCCCCATACTCCACCTTTGCAAGCATATCCTGTGTGGAGATTCAATAAAAAAAATTAGTTGTACAGTAATTAATTGGACAAATAACCTGGTAATCAATTGAAAAAAAAAAAAAGAATCATGATCCATAACTTGTGTTAAGCAAAGCATTTTCCCAAAAGACAATTCTAGATACTAAACAATTT